ATTTCAGGTTTTTAACGACTTGCCCGACTTTGTGGACAGCTAGCTCATTCTCTCAAGTGATAGAAAAAAAATTTGCAAATTCAACTACAGAGCCATCTCAAAATATAGTTTTTATGAGATAACACATTCTATAAACACATATCTTTATAGTAGGTTTTCACTGAAATATGTAGGTATATGCGTAAAGTATTTAATTCATTATGTAATTCTACGAGAGCATTTGTATCTGCTATCATGAGGTGGCCATAGCTTTCATGACATTTATTATGAGTATTAGGTATGCGATATAATAGCTGAGTTTACTTTAACTGAACGAGCTGATTAGACGGAAGACATGAATCAAGACTACGTGCTGATACAGACAATTAAACGACATATAGTGAGGAAATAGAGAAGATGGAGCTGTGAACAGGGGCTTAGCCTATAAGATGGGTTTCCTCTTGAGTTTTCCCAGAGCAAATAAGAAGTTTATAAATGGGAAGGTTGTTTTGAGTTTTCCCAGAGCAAATAAGAAGTTTATAAATGGGAAGGTTGTTTAAGTTCCATAGATTATACTTACGAACCAAGTCGCCCCCCCCCCCCACGTGGCACAGCTGTATGTTTGCGGACTTACAATGCTAGAAACCGGGTTTCGATACCCGTGGTTGGCAGAGCACAGATTGTCCTTGTGTAGCTTTGTGCATAATTAAAAACAAACAAACCAAGTCACGTCATTTTCCTTATAACTTTCAAGTAAGTTATCATCAACACAGCGCGTACATCATGTTGTTGGCATATATTTGTGACATATAACATGATTAAGATTATCTACAGCCATTGAAATCACATTTATTTCCCTGTTATTATTATTATTATTTGCCATCTGGTGAGCCATTCTAGTCTCTTAATGCCATTCAAACACTTTAAGTTTATACGCAACATGTATTGTAGCTAAGCTTGGGCAAAACTTTAGGCGGATTCTTTGTATTTCAATGATTCTATGATGAATATGTATGTGAGCATAAAACAAGCCAAGGATAATAAAGATATTGTCCATCCTGATACTTCCCGCTTCTTTATGGATTAAAGTAGCGGACTTACATTTATTAACAAGAGAGAGGAGCTTGAATTATTCAAAAGACGAATTGAGCGAATAAGGTTATGACAGGCAGAATATCTTCTAAGCCTATCTTGAAATGCTACCTGACAAAATTGTCATGTAGAACTGTACATACTATAAAAATAAAGTTTTAATGTCTATCTGATGTATTTTATAGCCTAAATGTTTCTCGGTGAATCAATATCATATCTTACCTGTGAAAAATATGGTTTTGGTATTGAAAGATCATTTACTTATTTACAGAGGGAAAATGTGTTCTGTTCCTTCGTAGCCTATACCTGAAAGTTTTCCAAATAATTTTAGTGTCTGAAGTTATAGCATTTAAAGTATCAAAAAGGCAACCAAATGTTAAGGGCCAGGAAAAAAGGGTGCTTGCTAGGGCAGCCCTATGATTAATCAAACATGCATCAAGAGACATCCTGAGTAGTATAAAATATTCCAAAGTAATGAAGGAAGTCATAAAACATTTAATTAATGAAACAATAATTGAATTTTGGTCACTTACCAGAAAAATGTCAGTTAAAACAGGATTCTCTAAGAATACAATGCCTTCAGCAAAAAACTGATAATTTGTTATAATGACATAAAATGATTTTATCAAGAAAAATAAAACTCATTAATGAGGTTAGTAACAAAATTTAGTGCTATTTTCATAATTTATTAGTGGTTTCAATTTCAAATAAGTGTGTTTACATTTTTCGGATACTAACGAAAATATATTCAAAGATAGCTATCCCTAATTTTGAACAGAAAGTCTAGATGGAAGGCAGTTAGTCAACAACAACCACCATTAACTCTTGGGCTATTCACCGATTAGTGAGATTTTACTGTTGACCTTGTAACACCCCCAGAACCCCAAGGTGCGAAGCACGATTTTGTGGAATCGGGATACAAACCATGGATTATCTTATTCACAGTCTGGCACACTAGACACGCTCGGAAACATTACTAATTAATAACTAGTTATTTCACCGATACAATACTTTTGAATAGATTTTCTTTAAAAGTAAATTATTAATGTCAGTGCCAGAAAATCATACCACAATCATTAATGTCTTCACAAACAATACAAACTATAAAGAATGATATCAAAGAGTAAGTGCCAGATCCGTGGGTGCTTGAGCGCCCCAAAAATGCATTGATATCGGTGCTGTTGAGCACCATGAAGCCGTGCAGAAAATACACACATCATCCCCCATTCATTTAATAAAGATGGCGCTAAGTCACGGAGAACGATTTTACTAAAGGAAACAACTGATGATCTTATAACAAAAATAAATGTCATCAAAAAGGGATGTATCAATTAATCGCAATTTCCAAAGAAAATACAAGACTATTTCAATGTCAAAAAATAATAATATTTCACGGACTAGAAATAATAAGTCTTGGTAAATGTACGAATGATCAAAAACGCCAAAAGTAAACTTGAGTCAAATAAAGTACTTTTGGAACAGTTCATCTTGTATCGTTAGCAAAACAATGTAAAAACGCAAAATGTGAACAAGAAGGTGATGGCAATAATTCAGCAAAAAATACGTCATTACCCAAATTCGACAACACTTTTTCGCAAGTGATAACTAAATCAAATTTGTAGCTTTGTAAAAAATAACCGCAAGTGTTAACAGTTGCCTCAGATAAATATTTCCATGTGTAAATTATTATTATTTACTTTTTTGACTGAGTAATATAACGAGATGTATATAACAATGTTAAACCCTGTAAAGGATACAGCTGATTGCAAAAAACACCCACAACACAATTTGGAACTGAGTAACATAATAAGGTGACTAACGAAGTTGTTTCAAAGCAGTGTAAACATAATAGTTTTGGGTATGGATGGACTGCTCCTGCTTATTTCTAGAGTAGGACGACGTTACGGCTTCCATACTGAGGCCTTCTTCGACGTGAATAAGGCCTCAGTACAAAATCCGAAATGTTGTCCACTCTAGAGACAGGCAGGAGCAGTTCATTAAAGCCAAAACCCTCCACTAATAGCAGAGTTAAAATACTGTGTCAATATGGGCTTAGCTTGAATAGAAAAGATTTTTGAAGAAAATAAAATATACTATGCGTGTTAAAACCGTATATCTGGAAAAAACATCACTACTATTGCGTGTAAGTATTATTAACAACGTCACTGAGAATACGGAGGTCAATAAAATTAATTTTTCCCAATTACAGTACGGTAATTTGATGAGAATCTTACTTCCTTCAATTGAAGTACGGTAATTTGACGAGAATCTTACTTCACTCAATTAAAGTACGGTAATTTGATGAGAATCTTACTTCCTTCAATTAAAGTACGGTAATTTGATGAGAATATTACTTCCTTCAATTGAAGTACGGTAATTTGATGAGAATATTACTTCCTTCAATTGAAGTACGGTAATTTGACGAGAATCTTACTTCACTCAATTTAAAGTACGGTAATTTGATGAGAATCTTACTTCCTTCAATTAAAGTACGGTAATTTGATGAGAATATTACTTCCTTCAATTGAAGTACGGTAA